AGAGAGAGAGAGAGAGAACAGGTGGAGGTGTGGACAGGTAGAGAGGAGGAGAGAGAGAGAGAGAGAGCACACACACTGCAGCTCGCTTTACCTGCACACAGGTGAGACAGAGAGGCGCGAGAGGAGAGCGAGAGACAGGCTGGATCCGCAGTATGCTGAGGGAGTCCCCTCACCTGGAAAGATGTACGTGAGTTACCTGCAGCTGGATAAGGACCCGACCATGTACCCGCACCAGAACCCGGTGACCCGCCACCCGGGCCTCAGCCTCAGCCCGCAGAACTTCGCGGTCCCCGCCCCGCCGCAGTACTCGGACTTCGGCTACCACCACCACCACCACGGCATCAACAACGAGCTGCAGCAGGCGGGTCCGGGTCCGGGCGGCTGGAGCTCGGCCTACCCGCCTCCTCCTCCCCCCACCCGGGACGAGTGGTCCTCTCACCATTACGCCGCCGCAGCCGCTGCCGCCGCAGCCGGGGGGCCTCCCGCGGGGTCCACGGTACCCGGCGGAGTGGGGCCCACGCTGGGGTTCAGCCCCCAGGAGTTCTCCGGGCAGCTGCCCGCGTCCCTAAACGTGTCGGCGGGGCAGCTGTCCCCCGGATCCCCGCAGAGGAGGAACCCGTACGACTGGATCCGACGCAGCTCCGCACCGCCCACCAACCCCAGTAAGACCCCCATTAATAATAATATAATATAATCTGTTTGACCTCTAATCATTATTATTTATTCACCGTATTAAGTAGAAATAATCTGCAATATCTCATTATTCAGCCTCATAATTAACATTAACATTACCTCCGGTTTCTCCACTTTAAAGCACTTTAATTGTGAATATTTGTAACTTTTAACACTGTGTCACTGGTAAAACTAACTGACTGTTTAACATTTTAATATGAGGCAGATAGCAGCAGTGATACTCAAATTCAGCATTATACTCAGAGAGCAGATAGCAGCCTGACAGCAACACACACAACACTTTTATTTCCAATGAATCAATAATGGGAATCAACTCTTATTTCCAATCAGACTGAAAATGAGTTTTAATGGATTTATAACTTTTCTTCATATGAGCAGTTTTATAAACAGAAGATAAAACGTATTTAAACTTGCGACACATTCTTAGAATAATTATATTAAAGAGCTTTTATATTAGTTTCCAGTAAATATGTGTCAACAACAACAAGCAGCCTAATAATTGTTATTATTTAGATATTAAATGTAAATTATGTCATATTTGATATTTTGTTATTTTGAAGTTAGATTTCAGTTTTACTTGATTTCCACCATAAAGCTTAAATATTATATATATTATATATTACTGCTCCTCTCTGCAATCAATGCACCTAAATATCCAAGTTGGCAAAGAGTACAGACTCGACCTCTGACTGATTTTAGTTTTATATATGTATTATATATGATTCAGATCCAGAAACTTTGAGGTCATTTCTGTCCAGTTTTATTTGATTTTATTGGCATTTTCTGCCTATTTATTGATTTTTCTTCCATTTTTGAAGTTATTGAAGTGAAGTTTTCGCTGTTGTCAGATATCTGAGGCTCTATAATATTAAAGAATAAAACCTATAAAGTAAAGAGTGAAACCTGCAGGTCTCCCCCTGTCGGAGGTGAAATGTTCCCACCGGTTCGGTCCCGTTGCAGTCGTGTCGCGGATCAAACGTGTGAATCCGGTTTGAAGCCGTTGTGATGTAAATGTTTCCCCGCTGGATGTGACTCCGGCCGGCTGAGCTCGGCCTTTGTCCTCCGCTTGTCTCTGGGCGGAGAAAACAAGACAGTTCCCACTTTGAAGTGTGTGTGAATAATATCACAGTGTAGAAATACTGAAGCAGTAAAAGTCCTGAATTCAACTTAAAGTACAGAATTATACGGAAGCCCATTGCTGCCAAAATCTCTTTATAATGAGAAACTTTAATTTGATAATTAATCTGATATTGTGGCTATTGAACTATTACATTATTCTGAGAGAGTTTCTCTTTCTTTTGAGATATTTAGTCATTATTTAGATAAAATAAGTTATTATTTAGAGATATTTAGTCATTATCTTTCTCATTATAACAATAAATGTGCTTCCATAGATTTCAGAATAATATGATTTTATTGGATCACTTTAATGTTGCAGCTGGTAAATGTGGAGCTCATTAGTTTGTGAATTCAACCCGATGGATCAATACAGTTTTCATCTTAATCTATAATAATACTTCATCATTTATTAGTTGATTATATTAATAGTCTAAATCTGAAAGTAATTACTAATCAACGATTAGAGAAAAGTTCAGATTTATTTATCAGAAATCATCTGACGACCCCTCAGATTGAGCTGGTGACCCTTTGGAGGGGCCCGACCCCTATATTGGGAACCGGTGGACTATCAAACTGGAGAAGCTCTGACATTGATTATTGATTAACATTGATTAACAATCTAATAATGTCCCATAGAGTCACTGACAGGTTCTTTACTCATATTCACATTGTGGTATTAATACTTTTACTTAAGTAAAGTATCCGAGTACTTCTTCCACCACAGTAGCTATCTGGATGATCCCAGAAATAAAATGCAGAATATCTATAATAAGATTTACTGATTGTTTGTTGGTTGTAAGTAGTCACATTTATTTTAATTTGAAGGTTTCACTTCCTGTCTCAGGTGAACTTTATAAACTGGATTTTAGATGAGAAGCGACGGTTAAAGTTTTATTGTTCGGTGACGTCGGGGTTAAAACTCTGTGAATTTATCTCTTAATGTTACCTTGAATAACGGACTTTGATCGTTTATCTTTCAGGAAGTTTCCCGCTCTTATTGACTTCTCGGAAACTTTTAATCACAGCATCTCAGCCATCTAATCACAGCAAGAAAAAAACCATTTATGATTGGAAATGTTATTTATTCTTCCAGATATTTCCATAATATTTATTTATTTGTGAGTTGAGTTGGTGGTAGATCTGTATTTTATGGTAATAAATCTTTAGTTTT